GCGTCAGAACAAGTAGTGCAGTCTGACAGCTATTCACATTCTGGGCACAGAAAGAATGTGATAGAAGATGTTCTGTCCGGGGGGGGAAACCTATGGGAGGAAGCAATGTTGAACAAAATATTTCACAGGTTGCGTCAGTTTTGGGGGGACTCCCAACCTGAATCAGTTTCTCAGCAGAGGCAATCACCAAACTGTGAGAAGGAATTTCTCCACAATCTTCTTGTTTGGATATCTCATTAAACTAGTGCACTTGTTTAACAACCCATCATTCCAAATGGCATGAAAAGCATTGGTGATGGCGTCAGAGAGCAGAATAGAATTATGCCTGATCTTTCCTCACTGACCATCAAGGGCTGAATTTCAGCCAATTAAATAGATCCCAATGGCTTTTAATTATCCTGGGGACCTCAGGAATTGTGACAAGGCTGTCAATGGGGAGATCAGAAAAATTCTTGGTCAAAAATTCTGATAATCTCATGCTTACTATTGGGGAATCAATGCAGAGTACTGGATTTTAAGAACAAATTATCACACTCTTGCTCAAAGAGTGGAAAAAATCAACAAACAAGCTACAACAGACTTTAAGGGACTTTGTTCTGTGGACAAACTCAAGAGTTCAGAATATTCTTTGAGATGTTAAAACACTGATAATGTTTTTGTTATAAGATTGCTGCAGGTAGCGCTACTACAGTTAAGATGCATATGTATTTCTGTTGTAAGAAGAAAGAAGTATTATATTTTGGGGCTGATGCTTTAGTATCTCTTATTTTTCTTGCGGGTTCATTTTGCCCCTTTTATACTGGTTAGCCGTGTTGTGTAAATTAGGGCAAAACTGTACCCTCTAGCGGAGAAACCTGGTAAACAGATTATAGGGTTTAAGGGAGTCTCTGACATGAATCTTGAAGAATTTCCTTCTAATCTTCCTCTCAGGAGGCTCCTCTGTCCTTTCTTCTCTCTCAAGAATAAAGTTATTGTTAACTAGGCAACAGCATTTATGCAAACTCCTCCTGTGAAATGTGGATGAAAAGCAAACTTTGATATCATATATTTGAAATTATGATACCACACCTTGTGTTACAACAAATACTGAACAAGGCTATTAGATTCAGAGAGACTTGATCTCAAAAGTAATTTTGACAATAAAATAATAAAATAATTTTATGTAGGAAAAAGTAGAAAAACCGCTACCAAAATAGAAATGAAAATAAACCAAAATAGAAATGAAATAGAAATCCTGCAGCATTCTAACCAGGAAAAGGATTTAAGAGTTATTAGAAAAATATCCAACTTTGTGGATAGCTGCAAGAAATGGAAAATAGATTTCTAGGATGCACTAACAGAAGGATGGAATACAAATTATTTTGCTATTGTACTAGCCATTTTCTAGATACCATTTAGAATATGATTTTCAGTTCTGGTCATCTTTTCCAGGAAAAGATATTATTGCCCTTATGTTTAAACCATTGGCATCAAAAAGAATGATTCCAGTATTTAAAAAATACTATTGGAAAAAAAATACTATGAGCTATTTCAGTTGGAGCAGTGAAGAGTTTCAAGGTAACTTAATAGGAACTATTTAAAGCTGTTAAAAGTGTTTAACAAAGGGAATGAGTTCAAACTGTTCTGTCTGGTGAAAGGGTTAAAATAACTCAGGGACACAGCCTAAAAATGAGGCATAAACAAAAAATTCTGGCAAAACCATAAGCATATTGAATAAGTTGCTTAGTAAGAATAGTGACTCAGATAGTATAAATAAGATTAAAAGACAGCTAGACATTTTTATAGAAAGAGAGGACTGAAGTATATAGCAGGATGGCTTCACTGAAATAACTGAATGGAGACATGACTGTTTAGTACACGAGACTTATTGTTCCAGTGACTTTTTTTAAAGCATGTGGGTTATTTTTTCCCATTAGGGGCCAATGTCTAGTTTTGATAAAAATTCTCTCATTTGCAGTTTCTCCCATATTTAATAGTACTGAGACCAGTGCAAAACGAAAAGTGCCACCTGTAGACTTCCCCTTCAAAATCAAACTTTCTCAACAGCAGATGTATTTGGGCTTTGCTCTCCACTGTCTCTTTCCTTTGGTGGAAGCCGAAATGTGAGCTGGGTTGCGCAGATCCCCATATCCAGCCAGAAGCTATTTCTGTCCTAGACATTTTTTTCATAAAACTTCCTATTTTGCTAGCACTGTGTGGCTGTACAAGTGGTAGCATAAGTGTAGATCAACCACTGACATTTAACCACCATGTCGTCTAGACCTGCTCTGAGCCAGATTAGATGACACAGTTGTTAACGTATCAGTAACCAGTTCACACGAGTGTTCCTGCTGCTGCTACCATGGCTGGGTCTGGAGCTACACTTCTGATAGGAATGCTTGGAAATTATATACAAAAGTTTGCAGATACAAACTCAGGCCAAGAGTTTCAAAACCCTAACATTAGGTTCCTGAGTCCATTTAAGCATGGTCTAATATTAAAAAGTGCTGAACACGTAATAATTCTAATTGACCTCAGATCAACAAAAGCAACAGCATTTTAAATATACTTAAACAAATACCACCTGGCTTAAATTTTTGTTACAAATTGATGGTTTTCCATCCTTGAGTGCAACCTAGAATGATGACAGAGCCAGCACTTCTGCTACCACTTTGAGCTCTGGTCTAGACAACTGGTTTTTGGCCACTCTTCCATCTCTTTTACCCTGGAAGACAATTTTTCTTTATGGAAAACAAGATCATTTTCTTTCACTATCTTACTTGTCATATGTCTCCTCCCACAAACTGGCCTTTTCATTCAAAAAACAAAACCCATTTTCTGAAGAGAAAGACTATACCGGTGCAGGTAGAATTATTGAGCCCAATACTGCTCGCATTAAAATCAACAGAAAAACAATCATTGATTCAGTAGAACAGAATTGGGCTTTTGGGCTTCTTTCCTGCAATGATCTCTGCATGAATTGAACCTCTGTGTCCATATGAAGTTCAGTGAAGGTTTGGAACCCTAGTCTACATAACTCCACCATCCATTTTGTTCCTGAAGAACTCACAGGAAACAACAAATATCATTACCCTTTTTAATTACATTTGAAACATAGCTCCCTTTGCCGTCTCTATGTTTACATTTAATTTGTTGTGCAAAACCCCCCAAAACAGATTTGCCTAAATGCCTCCTGCTGACATTCAGCAACAGATTGCACTTAATATTCATAGTTCAATTTCTGTATAAAAAGAAACTGAGGAATTAATATGAGCCAATTGCATGAGTAGTTTTTTGATTAATAGGACCCCTCATCCAGATATGATGACAAATGCAAACTTCCGAATAGCTCTTTGCATGATTACAAAAATAAGCAATACGAATGGTTGACTAAATTTGCTTACTAGTCTTCTTGTATTCTGACCTGTATCTGGCTCATGTGTATAACATGTTGCTGCACAAAATGCAATAATACAAACTCTGTCTTTTAACGCTTTCCTAAAAATGCACCTATTTTGTTTAGATTATTAGAACATAACTTTCCTAATTCCACTTTTTTTTTGTCTTTTGGAATTCCATTGTACTTTCAGGTTACCTGTTATGTTGAAGCCTGGAGACCCTGTCCTCTGTTTTCTATACAAAAACTGAGAAACTTAGATCCATGTTCAAACAGTTTCTTTTTAAAAAAAAAAAAAAAGTCCAGCACTGCATCTTTATACAGATCAATGTCCAATTATAAGCAGAGTCACTGTGGTAAAAGGTCAGGAAAAAAAATAATCTTTCTGGCATTTATTACTTGGAAAACAAGGCCTTGTATGAGGTCAACCCTCCAATACACACAGAATAAATTATAATGCAGCATTATAAATATTGTACACAACAAAAATTATATTGCAATCTCAACATGATCAGAAAAATGAAGTAGAGCGTGTATTTGCTGATGAATGTGCTACAGATCAGACTGTGCTAGAGGCAAAAATCTAGTTCCAATTAATCATCAATTAATAAAAAGCTTATAATGTATTTCTGCTTAATTATAAATATAGCTTCTCATTAAGAATGATTTAATTAATCAATTTTTAAATATCCTTAACATTGTGAATCACTTTCCACACAACAGACTAAAATGACTAACAGATATGTGACAGTAAATTCAAAAGAATTCAGTTGTTCATTTCCTCATTGCTTTTGAGACTACAAACAAAAAACACAAACATACATGATGCTGGAGCATTCAGTTTGGCTGACATTGTTAGGAAATGTCATATTTATTTTGAAATAGAAGATATCATAATTAGTGAAAAGGCATAAAAAAAAAGAATTGGACACAGACTTGGAGGCAATAAACATGCTTATTTATCAGAATGTATGCTTATAGAGCATTGCCGCTGTCCTAGTATAAATCACTGTAGCAGCTTAACAGACACTTATCTGCGTCTTTCTTAGGGTGTGAATGAAATGATTATACTGAAAATCGTATGATGCCATTATTTGACACTTTGCTTCTTATATTGCGATGAATAGTGAAGTCAACGTTACAAATAGGAAAATATAGCCTTGAACTGAAAATTTCTTCTGATCCAGTTTTTTTTTCCCCCTGATATCCAAGATCTTTTCTTAAACCTCACTCCAAACTATGTAAAGAATGGAAATGACTAGATGTTATTTTGTCTGTTGTTGTAATCATATCTAATTTCAATTTTCAAGGCATGCCTAGGCAGAAAGACTGTACACTATACATTTATGGAAATGTCCATGAAAACAAAATATATGCTAATAGTTTTGGAAAAATACTAATTTTTAATGATTTTTAAAATTTTCTTTGGAATAAAAAAAGAAAGGCTATTGTAGTTTCATGTTTATACTTAAAGATATTGAACATTCTTTGCTCTGGGCCAAGATTTACTGTTTTATCTGATAGTAGTATCAATTCCACCATGATAAACTCCAACTGTAGCACTAATAGGTTTATAATGATTGCTTAAGCTTTACACTTTGTAGGTATTGGAAGCTTCACTCACCTTGCTCAAGTGGCTGGCTTTTAGTTGAAGTAGTTTTCATCTTCAGTGCCTCCCTAACAGACATGTCACAGCAGGAGCCTTTGTTAGTGTCTTGGTCACTGTCAGCCTGATCACTGTCCCCATGCCCGCTGTCCCTCAAGCTGGCTCTTTCCGGGTCCTTGAACGTGGAGCTACTGAAATACATATTTAAAAAAAAAAAGAGAGAGTTGTATTTACTTGTTCCAATTTGAATTGTACTCTCTGGCAAAGCAATTTTGACAAGAATGCAAATGGGGAAGCCGAGAAAGTTATTTAATAGGCCTTACCTTTGAACAAACTGCTGCCTGCTGCCCATGTAATTGGGCTCTGCGGGAAAATTGTCTGTCTGTGAAAGAGAAGGAAAAAAATACGTATAGTTGTACACTGGACAAATCTCCTGCAGAGCAACAAGATTTCCTAGAGGAGAAATAATTAATAATTCAAAAAAATCCCTTAATCTTCAGATTTGTACATTTTAATTAAATTGGAAAATGCTGGCATGTAATTATGTACTCAGAACAATTAAATGATTCCGGTCCACAAATTACCTGCTAAAGTAAACAATGAGGCTATAATAAGTGGTATTCTCTGTCAGTAACCTGACAGATGACATTGTTTATGTTTTTTCATTAGTTAGATATTAAGACTGATGGTTATTAAAGAGGAAAGAAAAAATTACCCAATTTTTGCATATTACAAAAGTGAATTATTCAATAATGCTCACTTTTAACATAGTTACATCATCTTCTGGGATTCTGATGCCCTTATTGCTGAATACAATTTCATTTAAACTAGTACATTACTTCTGAATTGCAAAAAATATAGTTTAAGAATCTTTCTGTTAGTGGTTTATGGGTCTTTTCTTTTAAATATTACTGGAACCAAATGCAAGCACTATGCATATGTTTGATTTTGTCTCTCTAGTTAATTCTCATCAGTATTAATAGCTGTTTCTGAAAAATAGGGGTTGCATGCACACAATAACATTAAATGATTGTTGTTGCCAAACATTCTTTTAAAAGAAGATATTTTATAAAGTCTGTGACTAGTGTATTTTTAGCAGTATGAGCTAAGTAACTGTAGAACAGGAGTATTTAGAGCATCCAGACTGACATGGAGTTCTGCCAAAGGGAACTGAATTCCCCTTGTATCATCAACTAGAGTTCTTTGGGAGAAAGAGAGAGAAAGAGACTGTATCTTTCATAAAACACCATATACTATACATTCATACACATCACTTCTTCTTGCAGCTGACTTAGCGACAAAGCTTCTACTGTTTTCTGAAACACTTCATATCACGCCATTATGCTCTGCAGCAATGAGTTCAGGAACAGCATCTAGCGCATAAGTATCAGTAACACAGGGAGCACTCAATTAACGAAGCAGAAGGCCCAAGGTAAGGTTTAATGTTGCAGGACAAGTGTTTACATAAATGACTAGTCGCTTAAATATTTGTTTTCCCTATTCGCTCCCAACTTAATTTCTTAGGTTTGTTTGTTGTTATGTGCAACTGATGAAGATCCACTGTAATAAAAATGATTTGCTGCTGTTTGTAGGTTGTATGGGAAGTTTGGGAGAATGTGACCCTACATCTTAAATCTACTATTCTATGTTGGTTGCTGCAACCAACTATCAAACATCTATCATTCTCCCAGTATATGCAAAATAAACTTAGCTATATAACTTGTGGTGTGTTTTTTTTAAACTACAGATTATTTGGGGGAAAAACTACATGCTCTCACCCACTAGTTAACGCAGAGTATTTATACTCTGGGTTTTTTCCCCCTTACTGCTTATTAACTCTTTGGCACAGTCAGTTGGTACAGTATTACCAGGCATTTTGTATTAACATTTGAAGCAGTTTCAAATTTCAGATTTGGAATGCACCATACTGTGTATGTTGATTTTAAAATAATCTGATTTTGCACATGTGAGAGTTTACTTTTAAGATGTGTAGCAATGCAAATCATATGTCTGACAATAGAATCAGACTTTTACTCCTCTTTTTTCAAAATAAAATGTTTTAGATTCATGGCTCCAATTTATGGTTGTAGCCTCAAATCTTCACAGTGCTTTTCAAATATAGGGGTTTATATATGCATATAGCAACTGATTTTATTCAGATGTTAGAAGGTAAAATGGATTTCTGCTGTGGGAAATATCATATTCTTAGGTATAACCTAAGAAAACGTAGTCTAGAGAAGTGGAACTTTGGAGTTATGGGTTCTAATCCCAGCTCTTTCATTAGCTTTTTGTGTGACCTTAGGCAAGCCTCTTAGGAGCAGATTTTCAGAAGTGCTCAGTTCTCACTATTGAGGTTAGATTTTGAAAAGTGCTCACAGTAGGAGCTGTAGGGAGCTAAGCACTTTTGAAAACCCAGCCACTTAATTTAGATGCATAAACAGAAGCCGTTTGGTGCTTGGCCCTTTTGAAAACATGATCCTTAATATCTACTATCAAAAAAAGCCTCTGTTAGCTTTTTATTTATATTAAGCTTGCTAGTTAACATGTAGGCTGTAATGTACATATAGCAATAAATATTACAGTTTTTAAAATAGGCATTTAAAGGAATTAAAATAACAATTATGAAATGGGAGAAGGAAGATAAACTGTTAGAATATTTAAATACCTCATAACATATCCCCAAAACAACCTCTGCTCCCATATCCCTGTTCAATCTCAGCCTATAGACCAGAAATGCTCTTATACTCATGCACCCTACACTATATACATTCTGAAAACAGCCTACCACTGCTCACAAATCACCGCTCATCCCACCCAGCATACTGTTTATAGCCAATAGAACCAACCACAGACTATTTTCTAGATCCCATTCGTCTCAACTATTATTAGCCAGAGACGCTAACCTCTTGTTCTTATCTATACTAATTAGACATTTGCCTCTTCCTAATCTCAACTATCTATTATGTTCAAGAGACCACCCAGAATCAACACTGTTCCCGTCTATCGTTCCACTATGAGGCAAAAAGCTAGTTACCTCATCCAGTATATTTATAGCTCAATATAATTTCCCTTTTTATCTTCCTAAAGTCAAAGATGCTATCTTACAGATACAGTCCACATATTAAATTTAGCTCAATCCACCTTACATCTATTGTCCATGCCTCATAATACTCTGTTCAAACTTTCTATCTAGATTCTTGGAACGGCACCAATCACCACACCATCTTATCACAGACCATACATATCCTCCCAAGGAATAATAACCAAATCACAACAGGCGATTTCTGCAAACTTCTCACCCTCCTTCTTCCGAGGCACTCAGGGTTATGATATTTTTTAAAAAACCCACAATTAATTTCCTTTCCTTCACCAAGGCTTGCACAATACTTACTTATATAAAGGAAGAGAGATAGAGTAGGTCTAGAATATATTACACTTTCATTTGTAATCCATGGGCCAGTGCCAATGGTATACCTGGGGAAAGGGTGTAGATGGCTTTTCTCCATCTTTCCCTTCCAATCCTGGGATCATCTGAAGGTATTTGATCACTGGTGCAAGACAAAACAAGCCATGTTACACTGTTTTGTACTTGCCCCATAGCAGTATTGCCAGTATTCTTGGAGCAATGTGCGTTCTGGCCACACACCCTTCAGTCTCCAATCCCAAGGGGATAGGAACATGGTGCATACAGTAGAATATACCAGATTTGTATGACCTAGTGATTTGCCTACTCCAGGGGAAACCCAGTTGACTGAGTGAGCTAGCTGTCTGCTTTCTGCTGCCAGAGAAGCACAGAGGAGCTGGAAGGGAAGAGTGGCGAAAGGATCTATAACTAACAGTTATAAAATGTCTAATGTTGTAGGTGTTATGGTGTAAAGCATAACCCTGCTAGATGCATGACAGTTTGGTATTTGGCAGCAGAGTTAAAGTTGTTTTTTTAATATTAGATGTGATGTTTTATAAATGAACATCTATTCAAGAAGCTGTATGGAGTGAGTCCTTGATTATTTACTTTCCATTTCCATTATTTTAATTTTTTGTATAAATTAACATTCTTTGGAATACATACATTTGAATTTAAATGTTAAAGTGAATTTTAGCTGAAAATACTTTTTCTATGCCACGTTACAAGGGATAAGAAAAACAGGGTTCATAATGGAACCCTAACTGCAATCTTAACTATGGAGCTGCTACCATCAAAGTAAAGGTTAATGACCTGTAACTCAATAACAATTCGACTAATTTTCTTCATATTATACTTAGCAGAAAAACAAACAGTTGGGTGCCATCCTACAATAAGTCCATTGTTACAAAAGAACACACACAATTACTAGATAATCTATGTATAGTTGCAGAACTAAGTATAAAATCCTACTCCTTCAACTCCAGAAACATAGACTTTTACCACTTCTTGGAAACTCCCTACCAATGATGAGCTACAGCAGGGCACGCTTAGCTACAGGGCAAAATCCTTACATACACTATCCTTACATACACTGTAACCATTATAATAAATACTAAACATTAAGCTTTGAGGCTGAGATTTCCAAAGGCACTTAAGGGAGTCAGGTTCCCAACTCACATTGATTTAAATGATTTGGGTGCCTAACTCACATCGGTTGCATTGACAATCCCAGCCTAAATGAGCAGACATTAAAAAAATTAAAAAATGTAACACTGATGAAAGCTGATATGAAAGATTTTCACCAAACTTCATCTTAAATATTTTCAGCAGACTTATTAGTCATACCACTTTATACCACACCGCTGCAGTTCTAAGCAATGTATGGCTTTTGAAAAACCTACCACCAGCAAAAAGCATTTTGTTGCACTCTGACTACCCAAAACCTTTCTATGTTATTAGCTGCAGATCTTATTAGTGGCATACTGTATGCCCATATTCCTTGCTAACTTTTGAACTCATTTACATGGAACACATTCATTTATACAGTATAGGATAAGACCTCAAGTGCCACTGGTATCACACAACCAGAGTAACACAGTCAAACTTTAAGAATCAGTGGCATTACAACAGCAGAGAATTCAATCTTTTGTGTTTGGAGGAGAAGGAAGATAAAAGGGCAGGCAAACTACACCCCTATTAAACACTATTTATGATTTTAGGTATTGCAATCTAAGCAGTTGCCTTGATCATTTTAATTCTTAGGAAATAATGTATTGGTCAGTTTTTGTCTGAACTAGATGTTGAAAGGATGTTCAAGAATCAGAACTGAACTGCCATTTATAATTATTAGAACTGTCCACAGAACCATTGCATAGTAGGGCCTAGTTGGGGCAGCCATGCTGGCTGCTAGGGAGGTATTTTCTACACCAGATTCAAATATATTTGGGCAGAAAGGTGACTGCATTTTACATGTATTC